GAACTGAAGCTTGTACCCTTGATTTAAGGAAGCGCTAAGAGCATCCTGCTGCAGGGAAGCTGAGAGGGCGAGCATGAGGTGCCTACACGGCCCATGCGCGCCGCTGCATCGTAAGCCTTAGTGAGCAGGTCATCAGTGACCCGACATTGGAGTCGAGGGCACCTGGCCTCCGACCTCAGGGCTTCGTCAGGGGAAACTATGAGGGAAGCAATGGTAGGCTCAACAGCCAGCGTGTGGTCAAGGCCAACTCTTGCCGCATCCTGCATGGCTACCAAGGCTCGGCCATCGGACGTAAGACTGTAAAGAGCCTTAGTGTCCCTCCAGCATGCATGCAACTCCCTCAGATACTCACAAGAGGGAGGAACAGTGCGGGTGGCGGATGCCGGAGTGCGCCTAAAGAACGCACTGGCAGGCGCTGTTTCGGGAATGGAGAGCCAAGAGGAGTGACCTCATCTGGGCTAGCTCAGTAGTGAGTAGGTCCACCCTGGAGGACAGCCCATCAGGCTTAGTCCTCTTCTTGGGCGGTGCACCCGCAGCCTCTGCGGCCCAACGCCTAGGATGGGTAGGTTGGGCTGGAGTCGACTGTGCGGGGGGAAGGCCACCCTCAGTCAGTAGTTCAACCTCGGCAGCTCTTACCGCACGAGGCATGATGGTGCAATTCATGCACGGGTCCTCCGAAAGGCCCTCCCTCAGATGCTCGAGGCCAAGACAAGAGGGGCAAAGGTCATGGCCATCCTCTGGTTAAAGAGGAGCCATACAGGTGTTAGAGCCGTTAGACCTAGCGATAGCTAGAGCACTCAGCTGCCTGTAAATAACTGGCCAGGAAACAAATATGCCGTGGAGGGGAGTGAGCACAATAGTAGTTAGCTTGAGCGTGAGCACTCTGCTAACTGGAGTGAGAAAAAATGAAGTCAGTTAATGGGTTTATGCCGTGAGAGGAGAGCGGAATACTCTCTCCACTAGCGCCGTAGCGAGTTAGCCTAAGCGAGAGCACTCTGCTAACTGAAGGCTGGAACGGGCATCCAACTGTGTGCAGGGAGAGGGGAGCGGATTCACTCTCTTCACTAGCGCTGTAGCAAGTTAGCTTTGAGCGAGAGCACTCAGTTAACTGGAGGATGGAACAGGAACCAACTGTGTGCAGTGAAAAGGGGAGCGAAGACACTCTCTTCACTAGCACTATAGCAAGTTAGCTTTGAGCGAGAGCACTCAGCTAACTGGAGGATAGAACAGGAACTAATTGTGAGCTGTGAGAGGGGAGTGAAGACACTCTCTTCACTAGCGCTGTAGCAAGTTAACTTTGAGCGAGAGCACTCAGTTAACTGGAGGATGGAACACTTTATGTGTCGTTGCCACTCTTTGCATATCATGTATATATTTTTTTACCCTGTTTGTAAAAAGTAATTTCCTTAATGTTTTATGTGAGGGAATGGAAAATAGCTCAAAGCTAAATCTGGCACTGTTACGCTTGACACATTTAAATGTTTTAAGTGTTCATTACAGTGCATTGTCCCTGTCAAATAAACGATTAAATAAAATAACCAATTGTGCGCCGTGAGAGGGGAGCGAAGACACTCCCTCACTAGCACTGTAGCAAGTTAGCTTTGAGCGAGAGTACTCAGCTAACTGGAGGATAGAACAGGAACTAATTGTGAGCTGTGAGAGGGGGGCGGAGACGCTCCCTTCACTAGCGCCGTAACAGTTAGCTTGAATGAAACCACTCAGCTTAACTGGACGATAGAACAGGTAAAGAAACAATGTATGCGGTGAGAGGGGGGCGGAGACGCTCCCTTCACTCGCGCCGCAACAGTTAACTTGAACGAAAACACTCAGCTTAACTGGACGATAGAACAGGTAAAGAAACAATTGTATGTAGTGAGAGGGGGGGGGGAGACGCTCCCTTCACTAACGCCGTAACAGTTAGCTTGAACAAAAACACTCAGCTAACTGGACGATAGAACAGGCAAGGAACCAAATGTATGCAGTGAAAAGGGGGGCGGAGACGCTCCCTTCACTAGTGAAGTAGAAAGTTAGCTTTCAGCAGGAGCACTCAGCTAACTGGATGATAGTACAGGTAAAGAACCAAAGTATGTAGTGAGAAGGAGGGCGGAGACGCTCTCTTCACTAGCGCAGTAGAAAGTTAGCTTTCAGCGGGAGCACTCAGCTAACTGGATGATAGTACAGGTAAAGAACCAAAAGTATGTAGTGAGAAGGAGGGCGGAGACGCTCTCTTCACTAGCGCAGTAGAAAGTTAGCTTTCAGCGGGAGCACTCAGCTAACTGGATGATAGTACAGGTAAAGAACCAAAAGTATGTAGTGAGAAGGAGGGCGGAGACGCTCTCTTCACTAGCACAGTAGAAAGTTAGCTTTCACCGGGAGCACTCAGCTAACTGGATGATAGTACAGGTAAAGAACCAAAAGTATGTAGTGAGCAGGAGGGCGGAGACGCTCTCTTCACTAGCACAGTAGAAAGTTAGCTTTCACCGGGAGCACTCAGCTAACTGGATGATAGTACAGGTAAAGAACCAAAAGTATGTAGTGAGCAGGAGGGCGGAGACGCTCTCCTCACTAGCGCAGTAGAAAGTTAGCCTTCAGCGGGAGCACTCAGCTAACTGGATGATAGTACAGGTAACAGTAACAAATTAGCGAGAGCCCTCGGTTAATTTGTACACAATTATCTCATTAGTTTGAGAGTATATAGATATAGCACAATCAGCAATAATTGGTAGCGATCTCACCGGCTGTGTGCAGGAGCGTCCGCTCTTTACCGGTCCGGAGCTCCTGGGGTCCGGGCGGTGAACACCGCGGTCCTCTCCCTTGGGAGGACGGACAGCTCGTCGCAGCCTTTGGAGGGCGAGCGTTTTTCCTAGCCCGCAGCTCCGATCAAACGATCGCAAGGCTACAGGTAGCGATGAGCTAGAATCTTAATTTTCAGTAAGCTAGCTTGGCTTCTACTCATAAGTAGTAACCTGCGCAGCGAGAAGATGAAAAAGGACTGAGCTCGTTGACAGCACCGGAACTTATACCTTCCGGGGTCATACGAGGTCACACGTGACTTTGTTGATATAAATATTCGACCTACGCATGCGCGAGACAGAAGATATCCAGTGCTAAAGCACCGCCTCTGGCGGTCAGTAAGTATGAAATAGAACTCAGAAAGGGGCAAAGAGGGTCCTCGCTTCTGTTTTGAAACACAAAGTAAAAGCAGGTAAACTTGATTTTCCAGATTTAAATTTTGGAGAGATTATGATTAAATAGTTACAATATGATAATAAGGCATAACTATGGTAGAAGAAGTGACAGTTTAGCATTCTTAGCTGTGCTTTTTGCCGCATGCTAGTCACTCCAAACAGGCCCACCCAATTTCAGTACATTTTGAATATGTTATTCATGCTACTAATAAAACCTTGGTACTGGATCCAAATGTTGATTGCATTTAAGATTGAATCATACCTACAAGGTTATGGGTTGGTGAGTCCTAGAAAGTGCCCACCTCTTCATCTACAAGTCCTTACCATGAGGGTCTACTGATAAAGACGATGACCTCCATGCAGGCCACATTTCATAGGCGGATGTGTTTGGCATTTATTGTGGCCATTATGTTTGTGGGCTGGTTTTTAATACACAACCATACCGCATACCATTACTGTCCACAAACTGGGGCAGTTGTAAAGGCAAATAGAGCACAGGTTGCCCACATGTACCATCTTATTCATTTGAATAAACATATCATAAACATACTGTATGGCTCAGTTGACAGGGTCATCAGGTGGGTTCTCACATGATCAGGAAGATGGATGAGTAACCCCTTTTCATTGCTAGGAAAAATGGATATTGCTAACCTTATAACAAAGGCCTGTGGGCAGTAAACATCTGAATCACTGATATCAAATGAATCACCACGAGGCAGAGAGGATAGCTACAGTAATGAGAGCAGTTTGGCATTCCCATTCCAAGTAGGATACAACATGCTGTGAGGTTGACTCAGTCGTCCAAGGGGTGAATAATGAAAATCTGAAGCCCTAAATAGGCCGTATATCTTACACTCTCTTCAGATGTATCCTCAGGCACAATGCAGCTTGGTCTCTGACTAATGTGAGTCACGATCATGTCTATAGAGGAAACATTGTGTATTGTGTTTGAATCAATGAGGAAAGGAGTCTGCCAGCTGAATCATTAGAGCTATACAAACTCAGTTGATAGGGCAACTTCCTGGTATCAGGTCTGAGAACATGATCTGTGAAACTGTGTGAAGAGGTAAAGGTATCATATATGACAAAACCACACAGAGCACCAGCGACTTGGCAAACACAAGGAAGTCTTGCACTTAAGCATATCTTACTATTTTATCCAGTTTACTCCGAATGGGACAATAATCTATGGAATTAACATTTTGTTGAGATCATAAACTCCCCAGTAAAATGTCTACTCCGTGAAAAAGACGTAGAATAATTTTTCATAGATAGATTTATTTTTGCACCCAGTGCAGTTGCCCTCTGCTGGCCATTAGAGAATGGCAATTGAAGGCACTTCCGCATTTACCCTACTTTCCATACCAAAAGGTTACCACGTGATTTAGAACTGCTTTGGGTTCAGTTTTGTGATGTTCAGGAAAGAGGTGGGAGAGTGTTTGAATTGGACTTCGACATGTGGCCAGATTGTGACTTTAGGACCTCTATGTAATTGAAAGGTCACCTGAAGCTCTCACCTAATCATTTTTTAGAATCCCTCTTTGTTGTACCCGACACGCACGCAACCACGCACACACACTCTGTCGAACTTGTCTTCCTTCCTGACAATGCTTCCTTGTTTATGCAGTTACCATAAAAACACAATCAGCCACAAGTCAACACTGACTGACTCCAAACAAGCTGGATTATTGCTCTAATTAAGCTTTAATAAGCCCTTATTAAACGGCCGCAGGCCTCGTTAGGCGGTTCATTAAGTCGTTTCATCCTTTTATTCCTTCATTAAGTCTCATTTCTTCTCTCCTTTCTTCTCAGGGAGTGTGGGAGTGGTGAGGTCTGGGAGATCATGACCTTAATTCTCTCCAAGACAGACGGTTTAATTAACACTGGAAGCATCCTCCCTGGCTCCAGACCTCTACAATGGGAATGTACACGGGAATTGGATTGCCAAGGTAAGGCACTAAGCTAATGTGTTTTTTACTGGCAATATACACTAATAACCTTTTTAAATTACAGCCACTGTGTTCCCTGCATTTATGATGTAATTAGATGGTAATATTGAATGCATTAAAGCACATACAAATTATGAATAAACATGTGTTTTAGCAGTGTTTTAGGGAAATGTCTGATACCAGCGGTTTAACCACCGTGACACTACTTGTGTCTCGGTGGTTTACAGTTAGTAACATTTAGTGACCTATTGATTTCAGAAATCCACAAAACCAAGTGTTTACTAGTGAAGAGTATTAAACACTTACCACAGTTTTAGAAATTCTAAATTTTTGACTGATAATCATCGATAATCAAACTCAGAGATTGTTAGTTTGTGCATAAAAAGTTAAGATAATGTTGAAAGTGTCAAAAGAAAATGCAATGTTTTTAGGCAGTTTTTGGCCTAACTTTAATGGTATTTGGATTTTGCACTTTGCAATGAACTTTCCCCTTATCATGGTTCACCACAGTATCCCCTTCAAACAGAAAGTATGTTCCAGGGCTCTTCACATTTTAAATAAAACGTAATGGGGATGTGGAGCACATAGTTGTCATGCACTTTTAGGTAGAGCAAAAATATTATTTTCAAGGTTAAATAAACAGAACTCCAACCTGTAACACACACACATTCACACAGACACAGACACATACACTGCATCCTCCAAACCTATTTCAAAGACGGAATAAAACGGTTCCTTTAAAGAGGGCGATGCAAACGGTTAACCCTTAAGCTCCAAAGTCTAAGACGACAGTTAGTAACACCTGCATGTTTTGTCTGCTGTGTGGGAGGGACTTCTAACTCTGTGTGGAATATTTAGAGGTGCACAAACAGCACTTTTTCTTTTTTCACATGCCAAGAAACAACATCCAAGAGACTGTTTACTGTTAGCAGTGAAGACAGATAAACCCCAGGGAATCTAACTGGAAACAGGTGTCTTAGTTCATACAACATGCAGTTTATTATTAGATAAGGATTAGTATGAACATGATTCGCCTGGACATGAATAGTTCTGTCTCCTGAAGGTGAAAGAAACTGGTGAATAAAAAAAGTGATGAGGATGTCTTATGTCTGTGGCTGTGGATACAGGTGTGTATTAACACTTCAACCAGTAACACATAGAGACTGTGCCAAATGTACCTATCTATTTTAACTGAAGAAGGTGTGCATGTGTGATACAGGGAGAGAGAAATAAAGATTGTGTGTGTGTGTGTGTGTGTGTGTGTGTGTGTGTGTGTGTGTGTGTGTGTGTGTGTGTGTGTGTGTGTGTGTGGATGCCCGCAAGCATGCCTTTGCATGTTTATTAGCAGTTTGGATCCTGCTGTGGAGACAGATGTTCATAGGTAGGCGGGGAGACGCGGTGTCAAAATTAATCCACTTGTGTGTTTCTGTGTGTGAGAAGGAGAAGTCTTTCACACAAAAAAGCTGTCCTTCACCTATCTGTTGTGTGTGTGGATGTTCTGTCTAAATGTTGGCATGATTTAGTGCAGACAGGTAAGACATCAACCTTCAGCCATAAAGTGACTGAGCTTCCTGAAGCTTCAGCAGATGTTCAAACCCCAGGATTCACCCTCTGACTGTTTCGATATTTTCCTCTCTTCCTGTCATTGTTACGATAGCTCGCTCTATGGTCTATTTATTAGCTCCGCCAATGGTTAGGGTGGTTTGTTTTTCAGTTTGTAAGCAGGATTACAGAAAAAAAAAAACGACTGTTCCAATTTTTGTGAAACTTGGTGAAAGGGCCGAGCGTGTGCCAAGGAAAAACCCATTACATTTTGGAACCGATCCGAATCATGGGGCGGATACACCCATTAATGTTCACTTATGGAAATTGCCTTGGTGGAGGTCTGTGCTCTTCGATTGCCCTTCTACTTTTAATTGACTATAGGCCAATTTGTAGAAGACTACAGACACACACACACACACACACACACACACACACACACACACACACACACACACACACACACACACACACACACACACACACACACACACACACACTAAATAAACAACCATAAACAATACATTCATATCCAGACACACCAGTATGACAGGCAAGAGAATGACTGAGGATGCAGACAAGTGTGCACCCACGCACAGTCAGAAACACAAGGAAGAGCTGGTTTGGATGTTATACAAAATTAGAGCTCCTGTACTGTATATAGAGAGACACACACCCCCCCCACCACACACACACATTACACAATTACAACCATAAAAAGCAGAAGCTCCAACTGTTTACCTTACAAAGGGGGAAATGAAACTTTTTCAGTTGAAGCCAAATACATGCTTGTGTCAAAACACATCCAGCATGATGCAGCACACAAACTAAAATATCAGAGATACAAGCCATAGTTGTTATGTGTTTTTCTTTAAAGCTTAACAAATCATTCCTACAGTAATATTTTATTCATAATACTTTTCATAATATTGCTTTTAATCGAATCTGGTAGGCTGTTATAATAATTACGTTTTGTGAAATGTGGGATAGTTTTACAATGCACATCCAACGTTGGTGCAAATGTTAGAATATAAAGGTTTCCAAAGAATACATAATATATACATAATTATAGTGGTTACTCTCAAGTCAAATGTTTCTCTGAAAGTAAGGGGTATAGGATTTGGACAAATGCTGAACCCACTAGAACAAATGTGTGTGCTGAGCAGGCTGACCATGAGCTGTGTGTTCTAATTGGCTGTAATTGTGGCTGTAGTCTACTCAATGAAAGCAATCAAAGGCGAGCAATTACAAGCCGTTGGTCACCAGCCTTGGGGGCAGAACTTCAGACCAATACACAACACACACGCACACACACACACACACACACACACACACACACACACACACACACACACACACACACACACACACACACACACACACACACACACACACACACACACACACACACACACACACACACACACACACACACACACACACACACACACACACACTTCACATTCACGCGCACGTGCACATGCACGCACACATCCAGTCAGTCACCCACACATTTCCTGTGTGTTTCATGTAAGACGCTCTTTACTTCTTTCTCTTCTGTTTGGAGAGGAAGTGCGGGTCTAATGACTTTTCCTATGCGTCACAAACACTGCATGTGGGAGGCAGACAGCCGCACTGCACGTGTGTTCATGTGAGAGACTAATGTATAAATGTATGAGTTTTATGAAAAGCTTGATACATGCAGGTTTAGATATGAATGTGTTACAGCTTTCATGTGTATATGCGAGTTAGTGTTTTGGAGCAGACTTCATATTTGTGTTTGAGAAAGTTATGCATGTTCATGTGCTCACAGGAAATGTACACACTCAGCTGCTGTTAGTATTGTTGTACTGCGTATGAAAAACAATTCTGTCTCTGAGGAATTTTACACATATGCTAGTTTCACTGTATGCATTTAATATGAACTTGGGACACTGTATGCGATGGTAACAAAGCGTGTCCATACATTACTGTGTGCAGTTTCTTTTTTTGATGGTTCCTCTTGCTCAGTTCTGGTAAACACCGCTACCACTGAGACCTCACACAGTCTGTAGAACTCACTGTTTTTCTGTTTTTGTACAACTCAAACTCGCTACATCGGTTTTAATCAATATTTTATTTCTTTTGAGAATTACTGTGGACGGAGCTGCAGTGTCAGTCAAATTTGCTGCAGTATAATATCCTATGTTTATGACTGTTGCTACTCCTACTGACGTTTGCATCAGTGTCCCAAAGCATTATTTCTGAGTTTCAAGGTGAATTCTATCCCCCAAATCGACAGCAAGCTGTCAAAAAAGTCAGCTTTTCAAAACAAATGTTAAAAAGTTTGAGAAAGACTTTCTGGGATCAATTTGATAGAATAGGAAATAACATATTGCACCATGTTTAAGATCTACAAAATGGCTAATAAATAGAAAATAATATAAATGATAAATGGTGTGTTTGAATATTCAGTATTAATGTCACAACCTCCAAAAAGCGTTCATAGTTAAATACATTCCATGTATATTTGGCACTAAAACCCATGCAAAAGTTAGGATTCAGTTGGATGTTCTCATAAACCATTTGTATGTCCTCATACAACAAGTTTCCATTTATATCCTTTAAAATCTGCATAAGGAGGTCTGGGTAGATGGGTCTGTCCAAAAAGATCTGACTTTCTGGTTGTTGTGTCTCCTGTGTTGTGTCTCCTGTGTAACTAGAAAATACGCTTCAGAATGATTTATTTAGTCATTTTAACCCAAATGATTCCAAACCAAACAAAACATTCTTCAGATTTCACAAATAATGTGGTCCACTGAAGCAAGGCCCCTGACTAAATAATCATGCAACTAACATTTAGGTTTCAAATGTCTCAAGCAATGTTAAACAATAAAGCATCTGGCTCTGAATCACATTTTCAAAAAGTGTGAATGATTCTTCACGGGGGTTAGACCAGGATAGTTAATCCAGCCACGCTTGTTGGTTCCCCAGCTACAGCTGCAGTGAGTTTGCACAGTTCATCTGGGGCCACAGAGAAGTGTTCTGCTCAAAACGAGTTCCCATTCACAGACCAGGGTTAGTGCTTAGCTATAAGCAAGGAACTATTGAAACATTATTTTAGGTGAAATGAAAAACAGAATCAAAAACAGTCTTTTGATTGGATCCTAGGCCTTTGCTGAACCCTTTTCCCAAACTCATCTCACTCTTTCTCTACCTTTGCTCCCTGATGCCAAATCCATCATCTCCCTCACTTTGTCTTGCTATGCCTAAGAGAGTGGGAGCGAATGAGCACCCACTCTCTTTTTGCCTTTCTTGTGTCCTTTTTATCTCTCCCTCCTTGCCCCTTCCATCAGTCCATCCTGTCGTGTTTCTTTTTCACATGGATTTCACTCTGATTGTTTACTAGTCCTTTGTCTTTGTTTCTGTCTCTTCAGATTCCATCATCCAAACTAACCCTAATATGTGTTTGAAAGAGT